GCTCTCCTGGAAAACAGACTCCATCGGAGTGCTGGACAGTCCCAGTCACATTCCTAGGCAGCCTTTCCCAGTTTGGCACAACCTATACAGACCTCAGATGAAGGCTTGTTCCTTCATGCATCGCCAAATATGATGCACAGATGATACGTGCAGGAATTTCACGTGCTCATGGTTCTTGAGCCTGCTCTGAGAATGAAAGCACAGGTGGATTCCAGAAACAGAGGTCAGAAAGATTTTATTTGTAGAGAAGAGAAGAGAAAGACTGCATGGTGGGGAATGCAGAGGGACCAAGAAACCAGTGGTCTCGTGGGTCAGATTGGAGATTGGGTTTTTATAGACTTTTTGAGTATTGCCTGAGGGCAGAGATGTCTCTCAGGTGCAGAAAGAAGTTTCCTGGGAAGGAGAGGTGTGTCCTTGACCACTTATCACCTTTTGGGACCTCTTGCAATCTGTCCTTCATGAACAATCCCCACATGGTGAAGGTCTGGTTTTTTAGCAACTGACCTGGTAGCCAATCCACACAGCAATCATCCAAACTAGCCAACCTCCACAGCAGTCAGATCAGAACAGCCTAAAATTGGCCCACTGCTAGTTCCTCTATCTTTAGCCTCCACTTCCAATTCAGCACAAACCATTGAAAGTCAAATATTTTCCCCAAACTAATCACCTAAGATGCCCTGCTTCTACAGATTTCCCATGCCAAGAATTTCCAACCAGGGCATACCTGAAGCTTCCTTGTATTTTTTTACATTATAAAGTTTTCTCACTCCTTGCATGCATTGAATAAATAGCCCCTGATTGTTCTTAGTTGGCTGGTCTTTATTATCACAAGTGCAAAGCCCTTCATCTTCAAGAGGAGGAAACCAAGATGCTATGACAGTCATGAATGTTAACTTGCTCTCAAATGCTTTTGTAGTGTTTGAGTCTTGTGGCTCAGATTGTGTCATCCATCAATATCCATCCTCCTCTTCTTCCTTAGTAATAGAATCCACAAATTTTAGCTGAGACCATTGTGCTGAGGACAAAAACTGTATTTTCCAGTCTCCCTTGCCAATTAGCCATGGCCCTGTGACTAAGTTTTGCCAATGGTCTACAAGCAGAAGTGATGTAAGTACAGTCTTAATGTTTGTGACTTGTCTATTTGAATAATAATTGTAAAAGCATTTTCGTGTTGATTTGTTTGAGGCTTTATACTTATATAATAAAGACCTTGGCTGCCATTTGTCCCTGATATGTCCTTGGGCAATTTTTGTTTTTGTTATGATGACAACAAAAATTGTCATCATAAACAGCACTTTCCTGAGTTCTGAGAGTGATTCTAACCTACAATACTGGTAGGAACTTCTGAATTTGCAGCCAGCTTGCAGAAATGATGGCAGCCTGGGGACCCTGAATCTTAGCTGTTGTCTAAAGGGAGGGAAGCCTTGTGGGTATGTCCTTAACCTATGAAGTTTGGCCTAACTCTGGGCAGTTGGTAACAGAAATTATTATAGGGCTACAAAGTTAAAGAAAAAAAAAAAGCACTGAATTTATACAGTGCTCTACAGTGGAACCTTTGGATTTGAAAAATAACCACAGGGAGCTAGGCTAGGTGGCCAGCCTAGGCTACATAGAGACCCTGGTTGAAAGAAAGGAAGAAAAAGAGAGGGAGGGAGGAAGTTAGACAGAAGGAAGAAAGAAAACTATAGGAAGCAACATTACATTTTTCTAAGGAAATATTTAATTGGAAATTTTCTAGAAGGAAAGACTTTCATTGAGTACAAAAATGTGAAGTAAATCAGGCTGGCTGAAAAAACAGAGCAATGCAAGTTATTTTCCACATTAACACATTGTTAGAGAGCACCTGTTGTGTGCTCAGTTCTCAGAGGAAGTATGAAACATGGCCTGCAGCAGTTGATAGTCTGGTTCAAGAAACAAGGAAGTGGTGAGATGATTAACAAAAAGTTAAATAGATTAAGACAGTGCTAAAAGTTATCACAAGTTCAGATACCCTCCATTTTTAAAAACTTAAATAATTGCAAGTAAGACATGACTGCACGTCAGCATTCAAGAGCTCTTCCCTGAGGATGAACAGGAATTTGTATAGGGTGATGACTAACTGATTAGTCAGGGTAGATGGAGAGTGCAGTCCAGGCAGAACAGCTTAGGTAAAAGTTTGCAGGCTGGGCAGGACAGAACATGTCTGAATTATGGTAACTGAGATAGTTTATTGGCAATAGATGGTCTTGTCAGGAGCAACAGGAGGTGGAGCAGACTAAAGAGAACACTGAGTAATAACCTAAGGAGTGAGGATTTATCTTGTAGGCAGCACGAAGGATTTCAGGTAGGGGACAGCAATAGACTCAAACTGAGAATGGTTAACATAACAGGGATACATAAGAGGTAGAGACAGCTTCTTGGCCAAGACTAGTTACAAAATTGTTATATTGGCATCCAGGTAGATAAGGTATTTGGGTGAATGTTAGAGTACTAGAAAAAGGGGAGAGATGGAGCAATTAAAGCTGTTTCTAATGTAAAATATTTACTATTTCTGGTCTTGTGAACCTTTGCTCTCAGGAAAGAAATGGCTTTGATTTTAGTCTTCAAGACTGGCATCCTAACGTCAACTGCCAAGGTTCCTCTAGATCTAGATGCCTTGTGTACGTCCTGTGTTCTCCCCTCTGCCTTGGCCCATCTCCTGAAACTTTAGATTCAGCCTATCATCCTGGAGCATATTAAGGCCTTTAAATGCTTGAAGGACTATTCTGATATAAGTTATTCCTTATTGGGCAAGATTCCTGGTCTTTGTTTCTCCACCTAAGTTGCAGAGGCAATAAGATCTCTGAACTTAAAAGAACCTGACAAGACTCTGAGACCCAGTAAGTTTAAGGGTAACTACTGCAGAAAATATTATTTTAGCAATAGTGGCATATCGGCATATTTTATTTTAAAAAACAATTTTAATTTGGTATAATTTACATATCAAGTTTATCCATTTTAAGTGAATTCAGTGATGTTTTCAGTAAAATTACCAAACTGTTTAATCATCACCATAATCCAGTTTTAGGACACTTCCACCACCCCTGTAAGACTGGTCACTCTTATTTGCCACTACCAGGACACCACTAATCTAGTTTTATCTCTGATGATTCACCTTTTCTGGACATTTTCTGTAAATGACCATATAATATTTTCTCTGACATCTGTCTTCTTTCACTTAGAATAATGTTTTTGTTTTTGTTGTTGTTTTGCAGTACTGGGGCTTGAACTCAGGGCCCAAACCTTGAGCCATGCCACTCCACCAGTCCTTTTGTTAGGTATTTTGATAGGGTCTCACAAACCATTTGCTTGGGCTGGTTTCAAACCATAATCCTCCTGATCTCTGCCTCTTGAGTAGCTAAGATTACAGGCATGAGCCACTGGTGCCTAGCTTAGAAAAATGTTTTTGAGGGCTTTATTTTTTAAAAAAATATTCACAGTTCAATTATTTTAACATTTAAATGTTTCATTTCAAAAATTCCAAATCTAATAGCATGAAGAAGATGTGATAAAATTTTTTGCTCAGACATAGATCACTCCATTGCTTTATAGAAATGGTAACCTGCTATAGAGAAACAAGTGCATGGGAGTATTGTACAGGGAAGGATTTCAGTCTCTCCATCCCCAAACTGTAGCTACAAATGAAAGAAGAGATGCCCAACCTAGGCAGATGTGTAAGCTGAAGTATGGCACTTTCTGAAGGTCAGTTTCCTTAGCTCTAAAATATGGTTGAGAAGACTGAGCATGTAACACAGTGGTAGAGCACTTGCTTAGCATGCATGAGGCCCTGGGTTTAATCCCCAGTGCCACAAAAAGATGAAATGGTTGGGCTAGATTACCGGTGGTTCCCCACCCAGTTCAGTTTCCTTCCTTCTTGCCCACTGTAACACCCTGAGTAACAGGATGAGTAACAGTATAGGGAGCCAGAACACAAGCGTGATTGTACAAATGGCCCCACCAGGTAGAAAAATCACCAAGGTGACTTCTCAGCTCCCTTTTGGCTCCAGGTTTATGAATCTCAAGTCTGAAAGGAACACTCCTCGCATTCATTTTAAGTTCCTAGACATTGTCTTTGAGATAAAGACTTACTGAGAACTAAATTATAGTTGTAGGTTTTCTCAAATTTTAAGAGCTTCTCTAGTATAAATTCTCTGTTGTGCAAAAAGAGTGAAACATCTGCCAAGGCTGTCCCACCTGCACTATGTTCCCAGGATTCTCTGAGGTACGCAGGGATAAGGTCTGGCTGAAGGCTCCCCACATTCACCATATTCATAGGGTTTTTCTTAAATATGAATTCTCTGATGCTTAATAAGGGGTGAGCTCTGAAAGTCTTCCACATTTACTGTTTCATAGGGATTCTCTCTAGTATATTTTCTTGACTTTTACTAAGGGAAGAAGTATACTGAAGGTTCTTCTGTACTTGCCATACTTGTAGAATTCTTCTCCAGGACGAGTTGCCTGTTTTTGTTTTTAAGGAACAATATGTGACTAAAGCCTGTGTTATACTCTTTACATTGATAAGACTTCTCCCCACTATAAACTGTCTGGTGCTGAAAATTGCATGTTTTCTGGCTGAAACATTTCCACATCCATTACATTCACATGTTTTCTTTTTCTTTTTTTTTTTTTTTGTATTTTCTCAGAATCTGTTTTATTTTTATTTTTATTATTGTGTATTAATTTTTACAAGATAATTGGTTTTGTTATGACATTTTCATATGTGTATACAATGAACCTTGATCATATTCACCCCCAATTTCTCACTATTGTCTTCCTCCTCTCTCCCACTTGTCCTCCCCAAATAATCCCCCTTCTATTTTTGTCTTTTTTTTTAAATCTAGATTCTGCATGTGATAAAAAACAACATTCACATGTTTTCTTACCAGTATGAATTCTCCAGTGTTTGATCAAAGAGGGGGCATGACTAAAAGGGCTTCTCTTTAATATGCACTGTCTAATGTTAACCAACATGTGTCTACCAACCCAAGGTCTTCCCACATACATTTCATTTACAGGATCTCTCCAATACAATCTCTGAGGTTTGGTGTTCTGTGTCGCATAGCTGAAAGCCTTCCTACATTCACTGAGTTCATAGGGGTTTTTTCCCAACATGCCTTTTCTGATGCTTAATAAGGGATGCAGTATGAGCAAATGCCCTTCCACATTCATTACATTTGTAGGGCTTCTCTCCAGTATGAAATCTATAATGTTGAGTGAGAGATGAACTCTGGCTGAAGGCTTTCCCACATTTATTACATTTGTAGGGTTTCTCTCCAGTATGAAATCTATAATGCACAATGAGAGATGAACTCTGGCTGAAAGTTCTCCCACATTCCCTACATTCATAGGGTTTTTCTCCAGTATGAGTTCTCTGATGTTTAATGAGGGATGAGGTATGACCAAAGGCTCGTCCACATTCATTACATTTGTAGGGCTTCTCTCCAGTATGGAATCTATAATGTAGAACAAGAGATGAACTCTGGCTGAATGCTCTCCCACATTCACTGCATTCATAAGGCTTTTCTCCAGTGTGAGTTCTCTGATGTTTAATAAGTGATGAAATATGGCCAAAGGCTCTCCCACATTCACTGCATTTATAGGGCTTTTCTCCGGTGTGACATCTCTGATGGCGCCTTAGTTCTGACTGGAAATGGAAAGACTTCCCACATTCATTACACTTATAGGATTTCTTCCCTGGCTGAGACCTCCAAGAGTTGCTTCTTTCTAAAGTCTGTCTGAATTCTGTATCACATTTATAGGATCCTTCTCCTGTGGCAACATTGTGTTTGTTAAGGTTAGGATTAAGGACTTGTCTTAAGCCTAAACTTCTCCCAAATTCTCTCCATTCATGATCTCTCCAAAGGGTGGTAGTAGATTTGTGAGCAGTTGGCATTTCTTTCAGATGTATCTGTTTTATATACTGCATCTCTAACCTTTGGCCATCACAATCACAGGCTACTTTCAGTTTAGAAGACCAGAGCTCATCTTGAATGTGTTTTTCCACTGATGCTACCTGGAATAACTCTTCAGAAGTTCCCTGACTTGACAATGATTCCTTGACTTTAGGGCTTCTTTTCCAGTCTGTAGGGGAAAGAAAAGACACCTGCTCTGTTTGCCAAGAAGTAAACAATGACAGTAAGAAACTTAAGCTTTAAAATAACATCTAGAATGGTATGCAGATTCTTTTAAAAATGGCTATGTCAGAATAAGTGACAAAGAGGTAGCTGAAGATTCACTAAGAGAATTGTGTGTGATTCCAGTACACAAGTTAAGTCCAAAAGCTGTATAGACGAGGGGAGGATAGGAAGGGTGACAAGAGAAACAGACTAAATATAAAGGATGAGGACAAAGAGAAACAGGGAAAGTATAGGGCTGTGAGTTCCCTGGGTTTAGACTCCATCCTCACAATCTCTCCAAGCCTGGATAACTGACAAATTTCTATTGTCCTCCTACCTCCAGTTTCTCCTGAAGCCCCTCATCATGTCCATCATTCTAAAATATCCCTTTCTTTGTGTTCTTCCCAAGTCTTAATCTTCCAAAGGATCTCTACTGCCTATAGGACAACCCCTAAATTTCTCACTCCAGTCCTCAGTACTTAACCAGGGTCTGTCCTTTCTTTAGCAAGTCCTGTTAGCACTTGCTCCCTGCTTTTCTCCCTGCTTCCCATCTAGCCACACTTAACTTCATCCTCTCTTTCTCTAAGGCTCTGGACATCATTCAAAGACAAGCTCGTCTTCCAGTATACTTCCTCAAGACTGCAGTCTACACCATGTTATTGTGTATTGTACACATGCAGATATGTCCCATGTTACTATGTCATTAAGGACACATAGAAGTGCATTTTTGAAATGAGCCAGTCTAATCACCTGAGTCCTTAACATTAGAGAATATTTCCTGGTTGAGAAGAGAGACAGTGTGAGAAGGACTCTACCCAGCATTGCTGGCTGGCTTTGAAGGTGGAGGAAGGGTACCATGAGTATGTGGCATGCAGAAGCAAGCCTCAGTTTACACACAGTAAAAAAAAATAAGGACCTCAGGTTAGCAACTACAAGTAATTGGATCTGCTAACTAATCCAGAAAATGGGTTCTCCTTTAGGGACTCCAGAAATGAACACAGCCCTGTGGATACCTTGGATGTAACTACATGAGACCCATATCAGACTTCTTACCTACAAACTAGAAGATTATAAGTTTGTGTTTAAGGACACAAGGTTTGTGGGAACTCATTTCAGCAACAACAGAAAACTACATAATACTAATAATAATAATTCTGAAGTTGTAAATGACTGGCAATACCTAACCAGGGGTCCCAGAGCCTGTCCTCAGAGAGATCTCATATGGCTCCTGGGGATCTGAATGTCTAACAAGTCCTATGGAACATTCTGAAATGTAGCCATGCTTTGGACCACTATAAAAGAGACACTGATTATAAGACTAACCCACGTGTCAGAACTTTGATCTTATTCTGAAGGGAGTAGGAATTATTAAAGTAGCAATACAAAGGAATCAGTTGGGTGCCAGTGGTTCACACCTATAATCCTCGATACTCAGGAGGCAGAGATCAGGAATATTGCAGTTTGAAGCTGGCACAGGCAAATAGTTCCGTGAGACTATTTCAAAAAACCCTTCACAAAAATAGGGCTGGTGGAGTGGCTCAAGGTGAAGGCCATGAGTTCAAGCCCCAGTACCACACAAAAAAAAAAGAATGAGCATCTTCCCTTTCTGTCCTACAGTCTAGGTTCCTATGATGAGACCCAGCCTTATCAGCTCAGGATGTGAGCACCACTTTCCTGAGATTCAGCCCTCATCCATGGGTTTGGTTCTGTCTTCAAGGTGGACAATAGCTGTCATAAACTGTCACCCTGTTCAGTATGCTTGGCCTATACACAGTAGTCACAGAGCTTGGAGTCCAGAATTTTGCTTCAAGGGGTGGAACCTACCAGATAGTCTTAAGTCACCTAGGAATCAAAGAAATGCCATCAACAGCTGGTAAGTAGTCCTTATTCTGGGAACCACTTCTGATGAGGTTAAATTTAATCAAGATTGAAGTGTCCCCTGTCTTGATCTTTCTGGCATACTCTGTCTGCCCTTGCATGTAATCTTTTCATTCTGGGCTGCTAGTGGTTCTATTTAATCCCTCACTGATTCCCTTAACCCTACCGATACAAGACTGTCTGGCCATATACAATTGTTGATCCATTTGATGTTGAATGTAAGACATCTAATGGTGCTGCGTGGCACCAATAATGCAGAATGGCAAATGTGGGTGCCAAAGAAAGGGAAAACAGTAGAAAAGAAAGTGAACATCTCCTTTTCTGACACCAGAAATGTAATTCAAAATACTGGAGTTGAGGGCTCTTACCAAGTGGCCTTATCTTTTTTATTTATTTATTTATTTATTTTTTATTCATATGTGCATACAATGTTTGGGTCATTTCTACCCTCTCCCCCCACTCCCTCCCTTACCCCTCCCGCCCCCTCCCTCTCCCCCCAACCCCCTCGCTAGCTGGCAGAAACTATTTTGCCCTTATCTTTAATTTTGTTGTAGAGAGTATAAGCAATAATAGGGAGGACCAAGGGCTTTTGCTAGTTGAGATAAGGATAGCTATACAGGCAGTTGACTCACATTGATTTCCTGTGCATGTGTGTTACCTTCTAGGTTAATTCTTCTTGATCTAACCTTTTCTCTAGTTCCTGGTCTCTTTCTCCTATTGGCCTCAGTTGCTTTAATTTCTCTACATTGCTTTAGTTTCTCTACATTGCTTTAGTTTCTCTACATTGAGGGCAAGAAATGCTGTCTAGTTTTTTAGGTGTCTTACCTATCCTCATACGTCCCTTGTGTGCTCTTGCTTTTATCATGTGCTCAAAGTCCAATCCCCTTGTTGTGTTTGCCAAGTGGCCTTATCTTAAAGGATAGCCCCTGACCAAGGATTCAGGGCAACATCACACTCCCAGCTGGGCCTTATTATGTGCAGTGTTACTTGGTATCACTAACTCACCTGAATGGACTCCAAATGGAACTTCTCTGTCCAGCACACAGGGCATTTCTCCTTCCTCCAACTGAGAGATCACATATGGTTTAGACACTGGAAGTCCTGATAGTAGAGAAAGAAAAGGATCACAGCTATGTGTTCTGGGGCCAAGTCTTTGGACGCTGATCATCAAAATGCAGAGAATAGCCATTGTGAAACATCAGAAGCAGAGTCAGGAAACTTCCTATTTCAGCTCCATAAGAAGTAGAACTTCTACAACTAAGAGCAAAACTACTGTAACTCTGCGTCTCAAAGAGAATCTAAATGTCTGATTCTAGAACCTCAGGGCAAAACTCAGCCAACAAGCTCAGAGCCCCCTAGCTTTTAAACACCAAGGAAATCAAGACGCCCTCATGGGCAGGCTTTGGGTTTAAGAGAGCTGTACTCACCCAGGGAGACCAGGTTGCTGAAGTTCTCCAACATCACCTCCCTATATAGGTCCTTCTGATCAGGGGCCAGCTGCTTCCACTCCCACTGGGTGAATTCCACAGCTACATCCTCGAATGTCATCAGGTCCTGAAACAGAAGACATTCCTGTGCCCTCAAGGAGAACACTCAAACCCTGGGGAAAAGGTAATAAGGCATCTGAATAGTACCTCCGGATGTGCAAGAGGGGATTCTAAGAGTTTCTAGCTACCCAGTGCCGGAGGGTTTTGGGCTTTATCATTTAAAAAATATTTTAGCATGCTCCAGGGATTTTATAATCCTTACTACTTGATATTCCATCCAGTGCTCTTGCACTGGAAAATCAGACCTACAGATACTTTCTGCTTAGGTGAGAGAGATGAATACAATCCTTTCCTCATTTCTTAAGAGATTTTATTCTCAGTTTAGTTGCATTTTGTTGGGAGCTACTAGAATTAATAGACTAACATGCTTTGCATTCGCAGTTATACAAGTATAAGCAGTCTGCTAATTAAATATTTTTGAAACTTGTGAACTATAATTTTAATGAGTTTTTATTATGACCTAATCAAATTTGGGGCTTACAATAATTTATCCCTCTACCTGTCTGCCAGCACAAAGTTCAGCAAAAGTAAATCAAGTGGCCTCATAACAAATCAATAAGTTTTGTGAGTTTGATCAGCATGAATCTTTTCTCACAAAGTCTAGTCATTTTTCAGTACCTGAATCTACAATGCTGTGTGCAAGACCCTCAATTCCAGGTCACCAATACAAGGTATAACCAACCATTCCATAAGTTTTGGTCAGATATAGCTTATCACCAACAACAACTATAACACCTCCTATTTGTGTGGTAAACCATATAATATGAACTAAAAACCAGAATCAACGAAGGTAGTATAAATTTCTGTTACTTTTACCCACAAGTGCTTAAAAACCAAATCCCACTTTCTGGATACTGGTGAGCCCTGCCTGTAATCCTAACTTCTTGGGAGGCTGAGATTTGGAGGGTTGCAATTTGAGGTGGCCAGGGAAATAGTTCACAAGACCCCCATCACCAAAATAACCAAAGCAAAATGGAATGGAGGTGTGGCTCAAGTAGTAGAGAGCGCCTGCTTTGCAAGTACAGAGCCCTGAGTTCAAACCCAGTTCCACCAAAAATTTAAAAAAAATCAAATTCTACTTAGATACTGAATCTGCAGAACAAGTGAAAATAACAACCTTATATTAATGTAAAAGCCAGCCAAAATAATCAAACAAGGAAAATATCCTCTGGCTCTCTCTATAGGACTGAGCTTCCTATCTCGCCCACCTGGGTGTGGCTGGATAATCTTTTTTCACAAATGGAGTGTGAAGGAAAACCAGGAACTACATGTGGACAAAAGCTTTCAGAGCCATTTAGGGTCTTATAATTCCTCTTTTCCTTCTGCCTGGAGAATGGCAAATGATCCTAGGGAAGAGGATGTGGAGAAAAGTCATGGCTGGAATGTCCTGGGGGCAAGAGCTCAACCTCGTTTGATACCTCTGAGTGATGGCTATTGTTATCATAGGCATAACTAGCCTAAATTGGCTCATTAAAAACTAGACTCAAAATGGGATTCTGCCATAACAAAAGTCTAAAATATATGACACTGACATCAAAGCTGTGCAGCAAGGAAAATTATTGATGTACTAGCAACTCATTGTTGGTGGCGACTTGGTGATGAGCTGTTTGGCAAAATATTGCCTGCGGTAAGTTGAAAGACATAATTTAAGAACGAGCTTGTGATTTTATGACAAGAGGCTGGAAACATAACACTGGAAGTGTGAGATGGTTGTTATTGCCTGCATTTGACAAAGCATGACAAGGAAATACAGGAACTCAAAGAGTTTGCTGGTTTATAAAACAAAAATGGAAGGTCCACAGGAGGTGTCCAGAAGTGCCAGGGCTTGCATGGTTGCAGACTTAACCAATTTTCATTTTCAACTGGACAAAGACAATAGACATAAGATTTTTGCATGACAAAGAATGATTAAAAAAAAAAACCCTCAGCTTCTTCTGCAGGGCCAAATCATGAGTGTGGTTGTCAAACTGCTTGTTTCAACTTCTGAATAATTTCAGATGGCCCCTGATAAGTCCTTTTAATGGGACCAGATTGATCAGCATGAAAAAAATGTATGGCCATATTTCAAAAGAACGTATTTCAAAAAGAACTGTGGGTGAAGCTAATGACACATGGAACCAACTGGAAGCAAATACATGAAAAGCTGATTAAGGTTTTGAGAGCTGCACCAAAATATTCATAACTTAAAAACAATCCTACTCAAGCAGGGTGAAAAACTGCTTAGTCCCAAAAGAGTTTATCCTCCAATGTCGTCCTCCTATGTGAGAAGGAGGATACTAGAAAAGAAATTTCCTAAGAACATAGCCAACAGCTAAGGAGAACAATAAGCTGGGGAGCTCTGCCTAGAGCAGAACCAGGTATAACCCAGAAACTTTCCCTTTCCCAAGATCAGAGACTCTGCCAGTACCTGTCCAGTAGAGTTTCATAACAGCTACGGATGGACCTGGGACTACTGGGCTCCTCTCATGTTTCTGATTTCTGAAAAGAAATGCTCATTGTGGTCTCCCTGTCCCCATTGCCCCACTGAATGCTGGAAATATAGTTCATAGGACTCTAGCTAGAGGATAAATATCCAAACCCAAAGCAGACACTATCATGCCATCTAAAACTTTGGTCACAATACTCTGATTGGATGAGACTTTTAAATTCTCTCTTGGGGAAGCATTTTTTACATCTATGAGTAAGAAAGCAAACAGTGGAAGCTGAGCGCCGGTGGCTTACACCTGTATCCTCACTACTTAGGAGGCTGAGATTGGGAGGGTGGAAGTTCAAGGCACATGCTTGTCATCCAAAGCTGTGCGGAAGGCTGACATCAAAAGGATTACAGTACCAGGCCACCTAGGCAAAAGAAGTTTGCAAGATCACATCTCAATGGAAAAAAACTTTAATGGTAGGCATCTTTCATTCCAGTCATGGTGGGAAACATAACGTAAGACTATCTCCAAAATAAACAGAGCAGAAAAGGACTAGAGGTATTGCTCAAGCAGTAGAGTGCCTGTATAGTAAGCACAAAACCCTGAGTTCAAGTCTCAGTGCCATCAAAAAAAAGAAAGAAAAGAAAACAGTGGTATGGCATCCTGGGTATCAGAGTCCTGTCCCCGAATGATTATGACTAGAGCTCAGTCACATTATTTTGTAGTCACACACAGAGTCCGTTACCGAAATAGGCCATGTAAACCCAAAAGATTCAAGTAAGTGAGTGTATGCCAGGAGAGGGACGCTTATGGGCTCAGCCTCCTGCAAAGCAGAAATTGTAGTTAGTTCCCTTTGGTGAACAGAGAGGTTCTAAGAAAAAGGAGGGAAAGCTCTCTGTAGTTCAGGCATTTGAGGAAAAATTAAGAAAAACCCCAACTTACCTGGGTCCTAGGTTTCAGGAATAAACTCATTGCTTCCTTTTCTTCTGGGCATCTCTCTGTAGGAAAAGCAAGAGCTGTGTAGGTAAAACCAGCCAAAAGGGAGGCTAAGCCTATGGCATAGACAGCTCCCAGATTCCCCAAGCTGGAGATTCCTACATAGCAACAAGGGTTACCTCTATGGTTCTGGGGACACAGGTGGGCCAAGGAGAGCTGTGGCAGCTTCTTGGCTGGGTCACACCAGAGAGAAGTGCCCCTGTACACAGCTATGTGAGGCTTCCACCTGTCCACAGCAGACTGCAGGTAGATGGAGTGTAACTACAGTCTGACTGACCACCACACTGGTGAGTTAGTGAGCCTCCTGTATGCAGGTCTTCTGCTAGATCTTTTGGCAATATAAACATGAAGAAGATCTTCAAGGAAGTTTAAATATGGTGGGTGGGTATAGGGCAGGTTAATAACTACAGAACAAGACCCAAGGCAAGGCCATGGAGGGGATGAGGCTTTAAGGGGAAGAAATCTCTTCACCCTCATCCTTAGGAGCCCAGCTCAGAGGTCAGATCTTCCTGAGAAGCTGCTTCAGTATTCTCAAGCATTGTTAGGTCTCTGCAGCACATCTATTATAGCGCTTTCTATCAAATTGTTCTTAAAGCCTTTGTACAAAAAAACTAGCCCAAATCATGCCAGAGAAGTAGTTAAGGCTATGCCCACAACAACATGGAAATAGCAGGTGTCACTGGCACCTCACAAACTTTACCATGCATATGTTAAATTCTTGTTTCAAGACTTGTTAAGACTCTGGTTCAGTGCGTGTAGGGCAGGGCCTGAGACTCTGCATTTCTAGAAAGCTTTCAGCTGATGCCTGTGCTGCTGGTCTATGGGCCACACTGAAAAGGGCATAAAGGAATAAAAGAGGGAGAGGCCCCAGAATCTGGGCCATTGGCCATTTTTGTGACCTTGAGCAGGTGTGATGAAGCATAAACAGCCCAATTACAATGCTTACCTGGTAAATGATAGAGCAACTAAACCTACAAAGGAATAGGTTAAAACCTCCCAGCTCACCTGGCCCCAACACTGAGGGGGGTATAACTCCCAGGAGGTGCCTACCTGGCACACTGCTAACCTGCCCAGCTCAGCTAGAAGAGCTGGGAGAAAGATCCTTATTGATGAAGTGATTAAGGAGGTGGGTGACAAGGCTCCAAAAGGTCCTATTTTTCCTCTGATCTCTGCCCAAGGGCCACTCCCTGTGTTTTGTTTGCTTTCTCCCTGCCACAGCAGGGGGACAGCAGCTCATCTCCTGAGCTTCCCGTTTTGCTTTTGCCTTTGAGACAAGTTTTCTGTGGCCATCCCCCCACCTTTGCTACATTCTCAATGTTGGGATCTCAGCCTCCTGGTTTTGAAAAATTAGGAATTTCCACAAGAAAGGCAGCGGCAGGCTGTGTCCCTTCATTGGGATTACCCAGCCTCTTTGTAGGGTCCTCCTCCTACTAGGTCCAGTACTAAATCTCCAGGAGAGCTTCTAGCCCCTCTGCACACTCCAGAGCCAAACCTGATGCTGTGCAGTTCATAGCTGGAGCTATGGCGTCCTTTCACTGGTTCCAAATCCCTGCGTTTCAGGCGCAGTCCTGGGGTGCTCCAGAGGATTCAG